ATTGTTAGAAAAGTGAAGTTTGATTGACCGTGAAATTTGTCAGCTGTTCGTTGCGCGATAAGCTGTAGAATAGTGTGAAAAATTATAGACAAGTGGAAAGTTATAGGGACGCGTGAAAAGTTGTAGACAAGTGTGAGAATTTGTAGAAAAAATGTGAACAATTGTAGAAAAGTGTGAAGAACAGTGTAAATCCGTGGAAAGTTTACTATTATTATTATTACATATTTACATATTTTCTCTTTACATATTTTTGACATGATAATACACAAAGCTCTACCGTAACATAACCTCAAACCTTCAAACAGCGTTAAAATAATTTTGACACTATTTCGTTTGGCATAGCCGAGCTGATGAATTCGATAGGCTACGCGGCGGAATCCCATAATTCACTGCGATCCTTCTGATAGAGGCGTGCATGTAACCGCAACGCAGGAACAGGTGAATTCTTTCTCCGAAAGAAAGTTGCATTGCATAATCCAGCGGCAGAACTCGAGGAATTTAGAACATATGATTGGCTTAATCAAGGGGTAATATTTGTTCCTAGTCCCGCGTAGACCTGCGCAGCATTTCCCAGCGGAACCGTGCCTATTAAACATTTTTTTTCAAGACAGAACGAAGAATAATTCATCGAGATATCATTTCCTGGTCGAGCAACCTTCCAGGTGTAGCAAGAATGACCATAGATGGAGACTCAATGTAGTTACCCAGTCTCGGAGCTGTTTACTTTCCACGTCGTCCATTGAAAACCGAGACTTAATTGCGTTTTCGTTAGGGATCATCTCTGCTTTGAGAATTTTTAAACACCTTATCGACGAGACGTCGTTGTTGTAATTTTTTTCACACGAAGTACGGTCTTAAAGGAGTCCTACAAAAAAGTTGCAAGAGGAAATAAAAAGTACAAAGGTGTACGAAAATTATTAGAGTTTTATTTCTCCGGTGTAGCCGGAAATCGCTAATTCTGTTCTCGTTGGTGACGATCCATCTGCGACAATTTTTAATACTGTTACCCATGGAGCGATGTCGTCGAAACTTTTTCCACGTAAAATGGAACCTTAAAAGAGTCCTATAAGAAAAATGCGAAGGAGAAATGAAAAATATTACGACGTACAAAAATCAATAAGTGCCTGATTCACCAATGTAGAAGTAACCGGAGTTTGAAACGCCAGTAACTTCAACAATTTTTAGAACCATTATTAGCGAAAGGACGTCATTGACAATATTTTTTGCATACGTTGGACTATTATAACAGTCCCGAAAAAAAATCTCAAAACGATACAAAGTTTGCGAAGTTCTAAAAAAAATGTTATCGTTTCTACTAGCAGGAGATTGCCTTAGCGCAAGGAGACGTTTCCCAGGCTCCGTACCGGAATTTTTTCCAACGCGCATGCAAACGTTATTGATGTCTGACATTTTTCTACGTGTCCACCGACGCTTCTACTATATCCTCAATTTTTTTCAAAACCTATAAGTGAAAATTGATCGAAGTGGGCCACTTTTAGTTCGAGCAACGCACAGAGCTGACGTCGTCTCGAGATGACTTTGAGAACAGCTGCAGAGGTTAACTTCTTGCGTACAGAAGGATTTGCCACGCTAGACCATAAGAAATTGATTGATTTATCCCGTCGTGAAGGGTCGTAATGAATCAAATCTCGGTCCGGCACGCTCTCTTCCTGCTTTCACGAGCCCGGATCGTCGCGAAGCGACGGTCATCGGACGCCATCGATGCCAGATCGTTGCGTAATGCACACGAGATTTCGCGGACGTCTTGCTAATGGCGCCAGCACCCGGCGCTGGCTCTTACCTCACTGTCATTGGCATCAATGGATCCCGAGCTCGTGGCGGACTCACACGATCGCGTGATCGAGCTCCCTCGCACGTGAACCTCCGCAGTCCGCGTCCACGATCGACGCGATGCGTCGAGGGGAAACGCCTAGCAGGAAGAAAGCGTGGCAGGAATCCTGTCTTTCCATCAACGGTCGAACTACCTCGGTCCGTTCGAAGCCCATTGAGCACCCAGGATCTACATCTGTACTGAAACAAAGCCTTCTATTGCCAACCGAGACTGTCGATTAATTCGCAACGAGGTTATGTCTCAGACAAAATTTAGGCTATCTCATAATGTTTTGAACACAACAATGTTGCTGGAAAGTGTCGATACTGTGGAACCTTGATTATTGAAATCAACCAGGAGATGTGGATGTTGAGATTATCCGGGACTATTTGAAGATTTGGAGATTGCCCAGAGAGCTTTGAAAATCGTCTAGGAAATGTTGAAAACATTCTAGGAAATTTTGAAAATATTCTAAGAAAATTTGAAGATTCGCTAGGGACCTTTAAAAATCGTCTAGGAAATTTGAGAAACATCCTAGGAAATTTTGAAAATATTGAAAATATCCTAGGGAAATTTGAGGACTGTCCAGGGAGCTTTGAGAATTTTCTAGCGAAATGAGAAAACTACCTAGGAAATTTTGACAATATCCCAGGAAAATTTGATATTTGTCCAGGGAGCTTTCAGAATTTCGAAACGCTCAACTAATTTTTGTGAGAAGGATATTTTGAGATTCAAGACTTAAATTAAATAATTTTCTGCGCGAATGAAACAAAACGAACGATTTTCTCGGGAATAAAATTTAAAAAGCAAAATAGAACTGTGTCTTAAAATGATGGAACCTAACCTATCAACGTTACGGTCAAGGTTAGGCGATTAATACACCCACCAGTGTTGATTCTATCATTTAGTTACTGACCAAAACATAATATCAGCTTGTATTTTCCAATGCCTACACATGTTCAAGGTTACTCAAAGTCATTCATACAATTGTAACAAAGGAAACGTTTAATCCAGAGATTACAATTACCTGCAATTAGCTGCATGTAATTCTCGAGGATCACGAACTCTGCTTATCAAGATGCTCAACTATGTAACGGGATCCATTCAAGGCTTGTTATCAAGATCGACGAAAGCAGTTCCAAGTTACACACTGCTTGGATCCGTTTCACAGTGATCTATTCCCATTGCGTAACGCGTGTTACATCGTTGCCGATTCTCCGAATAATTTATTCTCGAACCTGACGAACGTGATTCGTCTGTCCGAAGAGCTCATCTTGTTCGCTTTCCTGGCACGTTGCAACTCGTTCATCATGAATCCCCGTTCGCATGCACTCGTTTGTCTCGCCGGTGACCATTGTCATGCGCGAGCTTTCGGTTTTTCAGGCCGGAACTTAACCGAGGACATCTGACAACAACTATGCATGCATGGCGGATAAATCTTGGAATCCTGGCCCGCGCGGAGAATAATTTTGAAATTGTTCCGGGTAGTTTTGAAATTTTTTTTAAATCTTTAATTTTTCACATTTTTTGTGGGCAACCTTCAAATTGCCATTAACAGTTTTCAAATTTTCCCAGGATATTTTCAAAATTTCCTAGGTGATTTCCTAATTTTCTTAGGCAATTCTCAAAGCTCCCTGGACAAATATCAAATTTTCCTATAAGATATTTTCAAAATATCCTAGATGATTTTCAAATTTTTCTAGATAATTCTCGAAGCTTCCTGGGCAATCTCCAAATTTTTCCTGATATATTTTCAAAATATCCTAGGTGATTTTCAAATTTTCCTAGATGATTCTCACAGCTTCTTGGACGATCTTCAAATTTTTCTAGGGAATCGTCAAAATTTCCTAGGCGATTTTCTCATTTTCCTAGGAAATTCTCAAAGTTCCCTGGACGATCTTCAAATTTCCCTAGAATATTTTCAATACTTTCAAAATATCCTAGGATGTTTCCCAAATTGACTAGGTGATTTTTAAACTTCCCTAGGCAATCTTCAAATTTTTCTAGGATATTTTCCAAATATTTCCTAGGATGTTTTCTATATTTCCTAGATGATTTTCAAAGCTCCTAAATTATGCCTGAAAGATAGCCTAAATTTTGTCTGAGACATAACCTTGTTAAGGATTAATCAACAGTCTCGGTGAGGCGATCGGAAGTGCTTACGGTAGATTTTCGAAGAATTAGATCAGTTCTACAGTAAAGACGAAAAAGACGTCAGAGTGGTCATTAGAAAGTATACGTTCACTAAGACTGTAAAATGTAGCTTATATGTTATATTATTATTATGTTATATTATATAGTTTTCTTCTGCAAACCAAAAACATTGAGGACTTCATATTTTTGTTTAACCCTCGCAAAGCTGCGGCCGGGTCAATTTTGACCCGGAGTATTTAAATTATTCACACAATTACTCAATTATTGACAATCGAATAAAATAAATTGTTGTTATATTGGGAACAATAAATGGGCTCGTAAGTCTGCAAGAAAAATCTACAAAAATATATTTGAAAAGATTTCTGAACAAAGCTTAGAGTTGTCATAAAAATCGTCAATAATACAATTGTGAAAATGGCTCGTTCCTCGAATGTTAATATTAACTACCAGAGCACGTGCAGTTTCATTGATTGTCAAACCTAAGGATTGACGGCAACGTTTAAGCGCGCGCAAGTGATAGGTTTCCCTAAATTTCTTCAGGAAGCTCGAGATCCCAAGTTCCGAGAGCAGTGATTTACATCTCGTAGCACTATCCCACGGAACAGATTACAAGACAGATGGTCGTCAGGGGCTATTAAAAATAGATTGAGCGGAGAAAATGTAATGAGACTTTCTCTTCCGGGTCCTTGCTGTCTACACTTGTATAATATGATCTCTGCTTTCTGCGCGGCATGTTATCGAAATTTTCACGGGATATCATCGAGATCTTGTGGTCTAGAGTCAATAATTGAGGTATCGGAGCTCTAGTGGATCGAATGAGTCGCGCGAAAGGCATTTTATATAAGCGGGCCCATTAACATGGGATCGAGTGGAGAAAATGTTGCGGACGTCCTTGTCACCAGCACGACCAGCTGCTTTCTGCGATGCACTTGTCTGGTCCTATTAAGTTAATGAATAGGCGATGAAGTGTCCGATTATAGATCCGATATTTTATACCTTCCGTGACACATGTTTCCGATTCATTAATTTCCCGATAATTTTCCTCAATAATTTCTTGATAATTAATTCTGTTAATTCGAGTAATTACGATGACGTGTGCTGGAACTCGATTGTTTGACAAGAATGAAGAAGATGAACAACAAACGGGTTAAATAGTACTATAATTCTGAATATTGTGAAATAACGTGGAAATTGTTCGGAAAAATTTGAAAATTTCCCAAGGAAATTTAAAGATTTTCTTTTGAAATGTCGTAAATCGTAAAGAAAAATGCGAAAATTTTTCTCGGAAATGTAAAAATTGTCAAGGAAAATGCAGAAAGTCGAACATTTTCTGGAAAAATTAAAAATTATTGGAGAAAAATTAAAGATAACCTATGAAAATTTGAAAAACAGCGCGGACAATTTAAGAGTTTGAACATTGCCAGTGGAAAATTGAAAATTGTACGGGAAATTATGAAAATTTGACTGTCTCTCGTGAAAAACTGAAAATTGCCTAGAAAAATTAGTACATTTCCCACAAAAATTTCGACCGCCTAACCTCTAAATCCGCCGAACAGCGAAAGTAGTTGCGACGATCGAGGGCCCGGATTTTGCCAAAAGGCGAATTCTTTCTGAAGAATGTATGCGACCTCGCGAGAGTCTTGTGCACGGAGTTATCGGTGACCCATTTATCGGCAGAAAAGGCAGAAATGCAGAGGTGCCACCGGTCGTACGCGTCCGCCTTTGGTCGATTCTCATACCAACGACCCTATTGCAACAGTGTTCGACAGATTTCGTCCTCTCTCATCGATTTTCTCTTCTGCAGTTACGTGGTCATTCGGATGCGTCTATCCTCGGTGTTTCTCGATCGCTGGGACAAGAATCGCGAAGGGAAACTCTTCTTTTCTCGTGTCGCAACGCATTTACGGCGTGTGTCCACGGCTGCAATTCCGTTGCTTGACGAGCTTACGAAATTAACAACGAGATAAATCGTAAGACGTCGGCCGAGGATAGCGCGTAGAAAGGCAGCGCTTCTATGCGATCTAAATTCCTGTCTCGTTCGCTACAGAAAAGGAGCCATACGTGCTCGAAAAAATCGAGCTGCTCGAATTACATACTTTCGACCGCGAGTCTGCTGACTCGTGCTGGTTTCGGCACTTAAATCATGGAACTTTTTGACAAAAGTATAATTTATTTATTTTATATATTTATTTTACTTATTTATTTCATTTGTTTATTTTATTTATGTATTATATTTATAAAAGTTGTAGAAATTAAACAGAATTTATATAGAGTAATCGTAGGATCGTGACAGTTGCAAAGCGTTACATTTAAATTGTGAACGTTATTTGACAATTTTTACGACAATAATTTTTCAATTTTTTTCAATTGTAAGAAACTAACCTGTCGAAATATCTATCCGATCGTGGCATCAATGAATAGCTGAGATTCCCCTGATTAAAACGAGTCCAAACATGATGCAAATTGGACAATTTTAAGCTGTTCTAGATAATGAGCAATCTATAGGGTGATTCACGAAACTTGCACATCTCAAACAACTTTCAAATCAGCTTTTCGTTAAAAATTATCAAGCACGTTGTCCGAAAAGAGAATAGAGCTTTCTGTATGCAGTGTTTCCAAGTTTTCCAGATTAAGTAATTTAAACCTATTTGAGCTGTGCAAATTAAGTGACTCACCCGCTATATGTGCAATGATAAGCTCTTCCGTAAACTTCGTTCAATTTAGGTCGTGTTTGGACTCATTTTAATCGTAGAAATCTCAGCTATCCAACGGTGCTACAATCATACATGAAAAAGCTATTCAGAACGTAGTTACAGGGTGTCACAAATTTAACGGTATTCGATCGATCTTCCCTATTTAAATGAATGCATAAATTTGGAAAAAATAGTGACGTATCAGGACTATCGAAGTGCTATTTCGAGAATTTTTGCCGATTTTTAACTTGATAATCCTAGTTGTGAAAAATGAAAAACTTCAAATTGTAGAAAAAGAATTTAGATTTCTTATAGAATGATATCGCACAACTGGCATATTTTTACAGTAACAACACATCGTCGCAATAGTGGTTTCAGAATTTTTTCAGATTTTTCAATT